ATACACTTAGAATAAAATTTCATATAGATATATAATTTTTTAAAAAAATGTTATTTTTTTATTTAATTTAAATTAATTATTATTTGTATTTTATAATATATATATATACAATATATATAGTTATAATATATATTATATATATACGTGTGTAATTTAATTATAAGTGTATTTTTATATTAATATATGTACATATTAATATAAAAATACACTTAGTATAACATTATATATATGATATATAGACATATATTATAAACATATAATATATGTCTATATATCATATATATATATATATATATATATACACACATATATAATTATTTTATTTTTATTAACATTAACTTTAATTTTTATTTTTATTTTATTTTACACTAACAGGGAGACTGCCTGTCAGCACAGACCGGGAGCACCGCCAAACGCCGCCGGGGGAACTACGGCGATCGGGTAAGTACATTGGACAGTTAGGACGGTTCAGGACCGTCACCGGTCGGCAACGCAAAAATGCCGATGACGGTCCTGAACCGTCCTCGGTCCCTAAGGGGTTAAAAGTATCTTAATAATTGCATTAAATATATAAAACATGCCTTAATATAGATATTTCTTCCTTAAGCTGCTTTTCAATATCTGGGCACCTCCATTTTGTCTTCCTCTGTCCATGATGTTTGCAGTTAGCCATTCTGTGGGATTCTTTTGACTAATGGATTGTGGGTAAATTAGCAAATTAGCTTAGCAAATTAAATGGAACATTGGTTAAGCCTAGCTCCCATGTAAAATATCAATCCCTACTTTTTCTTAAAACAAAAAAAATTAATTTAAAAAATTTAATAAAAACTATGTAAAATAAAGGGACAGCAGAGGATGCCACTTTATGGGTTTTAAATATGTTTGGAAGTCTAAAATTCATGTTTTTAATCCAGACAGTTCTAAAAAGTCACTCAATGAAAACAATTGAGGATAAACAAGTGGAAAATGTTTATATATATTTTTTTCAATTTTGATTCCCTAATCAAGTCTGATATGCACAATGTTTAAACTGTTTCTAGTGATCTGCACTTTAAAAATGTGTTTATATGTCATAATTCTTTATCTAATAATGCCCGTTATGTTCAAAATCTAATAAACAGAATTATAAAATAATGTAGCTATGTTGCTCTTGTGGGTCACTAAAAGATTTTCTCATTAATTGTATATAGTTTATAAGTTTATATTCATATATAAAAATGAACAAATGAATGAAAAATATGTTTGATATAATTTGTGATCTTCCAATTAATTTCAAATTTTTAGGGACATTTATATTATTAGTCTCATTTGCAGATCCAAGATTAAATTAGGTTATCGCAAGGTCTGTACTTTAACATTTTTTCCTTTCTGTAGAAAAATATCAAATTACACTTTAAAAATGTAACATGATATTAATGAACAAAATATTAAATAAAACTACTGTAAACCAATATTTTTTTTAGTTACACAGTAATTAAAATATGTCACAGTAGCTGCACTTTTATCTAATTCCTTGTATTATTATTGGTGATAAATGCTAATATCCTAATAGCAATTTACCTTATGTGTTTTAAGCAGAAATGTAATAATAAATCCAAATATTTGTATTGGGTAAGCGAAAATAACAAAATCAACGTACCTTAAAATGTTCATGTAAATTAAAACCACCATGCATTTCTTGTACTTCTGCAAGTACAGACCTGGTACAGGAAAATGCAAATCTTGAAATCTGTTATTAATTTACTGTCATATTATAACATGTCTGTAGATATGCTTCCCCAATAGAGCAGAAAGTAATATTCAGAAATATAGATATTCTTTAAAAAGTTACAACGTTTAAAAACAAGCTATGACGTTTAATATTGTTATTAAGTTAAAATAGCTTTTATAGGTAAACATTCTGCTGGCTAAGTTATTACAAACAATTTGTTTCTAACTATGATCTTTCTATTTGACTTCTGAGGTACACATATAAAGTTAGGGATGTAACTAAAATTCAATGATTTCTCTATTGAGTAGCATGGTTCCTCTGATCATTGTGTTGTATTATTTGGGAGTAGAAACCACGTTAGTTTCAAACCTTCAAACACACAGGTTCCTTTATGCATCTATTGATCTTTACGGGGTATCAGAGGATGTGGTGAGATATAATAGAACACGATTGGCAACCTTCTCTTTACGTAATAGATGTCTCTTCCAATACTCTTAGCTATCAAAGGATGTGGTGAGATGTAATAGAATAAGATCGGCAACCTTCCCTTTACGTACTAGATGTCTCTTCCAAAGCTTTTAGCTATGCTACTCATTGCCAAGCTTTAGGTTGAAGCTTGATAACCATGATCTTTACCGTGAACTAGAGGTTGACAGCACATCTAAAGCTGGCTGTAATATTTGGGATTAGATATTTTGGTTTTTAGTTTTGTTGGTAATTACATATTCTCTGAGTGGATAACTCTAATTGGTAGAGGTAATATTGTTGGTGTGAAGATGATGGCAATGCTAACATTTACATAATCTAGGCTTTCAATTCACAGTTACAGGGCAATTATTGCAAAGGGAACATGGTATTTTTAAAGATAAAAAATATAAAATTTAGGAAACTTCCGTAATAGCAGTCACATAGTCCAAAATCTCCACACACAAGCATGTATTTGGCAAAAAAAATAATAATCAAATTGGGTATTTAACTAAAAGTATTTTGACACTTTTCATTTAACCATTTTGTCACCAGCTTACACCAAAACTATTGGCTATATTTATTTATTTTGTGTTTTTGAACACTTTTTTATTTTTGTTGGAGACTGCATATCCTACTACTGTAAAGATCTCAAATGTGTATTCTTCTACTACCCTCAAGTACAGAAATACCCCCATGTAGACCTTTGTCAGACATTTGATGAGTTATAAGATCGAGTTACAGACATACTAGCTTCACCTGTAACATGGCAAACCATTTCTAAAAGAAGACAACTTGGACTATTTAATATAGGGCATTTTGAGTCTTTTCATTTTCTTCTGATATCAAACCAATTTGTGACAAATTTAGCAAAGCATTTTTTTTTTTTTACTTTCACATACACATTGAACTTTAATGAGGAATTTCCCAGACCAGGTGTCCCCCAATCATGTGAAGACCCCACATTTAGATTCTGATATCCTGCTGCCGAATATAGCAATGCACCACATCTATATCTTTACCAGATTTGTTTGGAACTTATAGGGTCAAATAATAGCTGTACAATCATTTTGACATGCATCTTTTCTTGCTATTTGTTGAAGTTGCACTATGGGAGTTACCATACTGACCAGTGTCACTCTTTGTCACTGATTCTAACCTTATATAACCCTTAACCGCAGTTTCTATGTGATAAAACACCTTTTTATATTTCATACATAAATATAATGTTAATGAAACACTAAACTAATATTAAAGAAACACTAAATCCATTTTGCTTCCAATTATTATTATTTATAAAGTCACAACATATTCTGCAGTGCTGTACAATGGGTGGACTAAGAGACAAGCATTTGTAACACGGTGAGTTGGACAAACAAGAACAGAAAGTGTTGAGGGCTTTGCTCAAATGAGCTTACTTTCTAAAGGGTGTGGGAAAGTGACACAATGGGCAAGGGTAGGGTATGAAACCTGTAGGAACAAAAGCGCAACCACTTACCTGAAATCCCACATTCACTCTGGTAGCTGGCCACCATTAAGATTCCAAGAACTGGATTCCTCTGGGTATCTTAGAATATCCCAAACTTAACAAATTACATGAACACAACACAATTGTATCAGGGTTTCAGATAAAGTACAATTAGTAAGATCCCCTACTCTCAACACTCTGCACCGATAGGTAAGTAAAATGAGCGTTTTAATCCACAAAAGCAAATCTCAATGGTTCACCTCCACTGAGCCCTTGTCAAGCTATACATATACATCCCAATACCAGTGATATATGATTGCACAAACATGTCATCAACAATTAGATAATTAGTAATGAGATAACATGAGGCAAATACCATAGTAACCAAAATCATTTGAAAATAAAAATCAAACCAAGAATAAAAATACATTTCAAATTACATGAATATTTAAATGTAAAATAATATATTGCACTTGGGCACATCAACAAAATTTGATGCAGCCAATAATTTGTTTGAAAAAAATAATTTGTGTAAATTTGAATAAAATAAAATGGTGAAAAAATTGGCCAATCAGTGTACTGCAAAAATATATACATAAAAATATTAGAATCACGTAGAGGAGCACTCAGGAATTTTCATCAAAAAATTATCTACACTGCTTTACACACATCATGCTCAGGACATCATACATCAATGTTTCAGTCTTAGAAGAGACTTTCATCAGGACATGAAAGTCCTGATGAAAGTCTTTTCATCAATTGAAATGTTCATGTATGATGTCCTGAACATGAATTGAATAAAGCAGTGAAGGTTATTTTTTGAAGAAAATCCCTGAGTGCTCCGCTCCAGGATATTTACTTGTGGCTGGTGGCTGCACCTGGGTAAGGACATATTTACTAAACAGTATGCTCATTTCTTGATGGTAATATAAATATTATGTATATAGTTTGCAGAACACTGATACAGGAATTTCCCACCATTTTGATCACAGATGAAGTGAGAAGAAGTAACCTGTAGAAGGGAAAAAAAAGAGGAGCTGTAAAAAAAAATATATATATATATATATTTTAATATTTAATAAATATGTAAAATAAATATAGACTTATTTTTACGGCTCCTCCTTTATTGTCTCTATTGGTCACTTCTCAACTTGATCTGTGAATAAAATTAACATTTAATGTGTGCCTCCTACCCATCAATCATATTTTTTTTTCTTTAATCTTTTGGTGCCATAGATGGAACTCAGATTCACAAAACAGGGGCGTGGCCAAGACTCCGGCGAGACTGGCAGCACAGTAACGGAGCTCCGTGCCGGACAGGAGAAAATCAGCAACCCCCCGGTCGTATAAGCAGCAATGGCGACAAAAAAAGCGCGTAACACAGCGGGGAGTACCCCATCGACCGTCATCCCGCCGGCAAAGTCCTCTCTGAGGAGGTTCTTTGCCGACCAAACGGAGGCACACCAGACATCCAAAATGGCGCCTGCGGCCCTCACACGCGGCAGCCAGCCTCCCAGCCCAGCTCCATCAGAGGGCTCAGAGGACGAATCCGACATCAGGGCATTACTCACACGGCTGCCCTCTAAGAAAGACCTCACAGACATGTTCCAGAAATTGGAACACTCCTTTGGAGAGAAATTGCAAGTAATCACAAATGATGTACAGCACCTAGGCGCCAGAGTACAGAGTCTGGAGGATGCAGAGGAGACACATGATCGCTTATGGGCAGACTCCCAAGCCATACAAACCCAGCATACAGACGCTATAGCCTACCTCCAAAGAAAATTGGACGATATAGACAACAGGGGAAGGCGGAACAACCTGAGGGTGAGGGGAATCCCAGAGGGCCCGGAAGACGCCACCGAAAACCCCATCAAGGTACTGACCGCCCTCTTTAACCAGGTCCTCAACAGACCAACTGATACAGCTATACAATTTGACAGGGCCCACAGGGCAGCACGGCCCAGACACTTACCAAAGGATATGCCCCGCGACCTTATATGCCGCATCCACAACTTCCCTCTGAAAGAGGAAATATTCCATAAGGCCAGACAAAATAAGGCCTTAAAATACGAGGGACACCCAGTGGCGGTTTTTCAAGACCTCTCACCGGCCACATTACAAGCCAGACGGGCTCTTAAGCCGATTACATCAGCCCTACTTGAAAAGCAGATCAAATTCCGTTGGTCCTTCCCATTCGCCCTAACAGTATCCACTGACAGCGGAACCCACACTATAACTACGCCGACGGACGTCCCTGATTTTCAGCAGGCACTGGGGCTGCCCCAGGTCGCAATTGAGGATTGGACAGGTCTTTCCAATTGCAAACCAGCACCGCTCCAGCAAAGACCCACATGGCAGAGAACACCTAGAAAGCGGAGGAGGCAGCCTCAGACTAGGACCGAGACCCCTAGCAAGACCAGAGGCGATGAAGCCTGATGACGGCTGTGGACGCTCTCAGATATCCTTTGCTCTATTCTCTCATATACTAAAAATGTTTATGGCTTATCTTGTTTTACATGCTAATGTTACGTTTAGATATAATTCTCTATATTAACAATGCCGCCAATGACTTTCAATGATTTATATTACACTGACCAATAGGGCCCATGACCCACAAGTATATGATTATATCACACTAGGGGGCCCCGGGGGAGCCCGGAACCGGGCACGTTACAAGGGACACTGACACTGGCCCCACATGGAGAACATGTTATGATCTCATTGAGTCCCAGGAACCCACTCCTTCCTCCTAACCAGGACCTGTCCAGACAGACAGAACTCCACCTCCCCACAGAGAAGCGCTTAACCACTAACTTGGGGACACGACTTAGTCTCCCACAAGTTCAGCGCCACCTCTTTGTAAATATGTTTATTTTTTCTTGTTTCTGTGTATATAGTTTCTGTTCCCCCACACCCACCCCATACCCCTCTACTGTCGCACGCCTGGCCATGTGGGCCCAATTCCGTATAAAACGGCACAAACGACTGCCTCACTATGATGGCGCAAATTAAGCTAATGTCCCTTAATGTGAGGGGCCATAACACCCCGGAAAAACGCAGCACGCTGGCCCAAGAGATTGACAGACAGAGGGCAGACATTACATTCATTCAGGAAACGCACTTCAGGGGAGAAGCTCAACCTAGAATCAGAGCTAAACACCTCCAACAATCCTACCACAGCAACTATGGGAAAAGCAAATCTAGAGGGGTAGCGATTTTAGTAAACGCACGGGCGGCCCTCACAGACACCACAGTGAAAGCAGACCCAGGTGGGAGATTCCTGTTTATCAAAGGGAAATGTCTAGGCACGCAGATCACATTGGCCAATATATATGCACCAAATACAGAACAAGGCTCATTCGCCCGAGCCTGCTTAAACAAACTAGAGGCCTTCGCAGAAGGAATGGTGATTGTGGGAGGGGATTGGAACATGGTATTAGACCATTCGATAGACAGCTCCACCCACGCCTCGGACAAGAGGCGACACCAGCGCACACTACTGGCGAACGCGCTTTTTGCCCATCAACTGATGGACTGCTGGCGTATAGTACACCCACAAGACAGGGACTACACCTACTACTCACAAACCGCTCACAGCTACTCTAGAATTGACATGTTCCACCTAAGTCATAGGTACCTCCCAGCACTTAAAGAAGCAAGCATTGGCAATATCACATGGTCGGACCATGCCCCGATTTTCCTAACTCTCACACTACTTACAGCTCCTACACAAAGCCCACAATGGCGTCTCAATGAGACCCTCCTAGATGACCCGAGAGTAATAGAGGACATACGGACGACACTCCGCCATTACTTCTCAGAAAACTCTACTATAGACGTAACCGACGCATGGGTGTGGGAGGCACACAAAGGGGTGACAAGGGGTATCCTGATTAAATGGGGTTCTAGGATCAAGAAGGAACGAGCACAAAAGCAGACAGCCTTGACACTAGCCATACAGGAACAAGAAACACTGCACAAACAGACCCCCACGCCAGAGATCTTCCACATACTGACAGGTCTCCGAATGGAACTCCGTTCCCTCCTATCCCTAAAAGCACATAGGGCTGTCCAGATGACGAGAGGATCTTTCTATGCGCAAGGGAATAAAAGTGGGAAACTATTAGCGCGAGCACTGAAGACTAAGCTCCAAAAATCTTTTATAACTCACATTAAAAACGGACAGGGGAAACAATGTAACACCACTGACGAAATAGCAGATGCATTTAGCAACTTTTATCACAATCTTTATAACCTCACACCCCCCACAGGCACCCCCTTAGACTTACAGGACTACTTAAGGGCCAATATACCACACAAGGTTCTGCCCGTGGCATCCCAGGCTCTTGAGGAGCCCTTTACCCATAAGGAACTCTATGCAGCGATCAAAACAATGCCGAAAGGAAAGAGCCCCGGCCCAGACGGCCTAACAGCCAGATATTATCAGGCACTGATAGAGGACCTGGGACTTCACTTTCTTAAAATGATCAACGGGTTAGAACAGGGCGCCTCTCTCCCTGCCCCGATGCTACGCGCATCTATCACCATCATTCCCAAACCTGGGAAGAACCCGGAAGCTTGCGGCAGCTACAGACCCATCTCTCTTATTAACCTAGACCTTAAACTCATAGCCAAAATGATAGCTAACCGTATTAAACCATTATTACCGGAATTGATACACCCCGACCAAGCGGGTTTTGTGCCGGGAAGGGAAGCCAGGGATAACACCTCTAGAATCATAAGTATCATACATGGAGCCAATACCAACCACACCCCCACAATACTACTGGGCATAGACGCTGAAAAAGCTTTTGATAGGGTAGACTGGAAGTACCTATTTGGAGTATTGGAGAATCTAGGTCTTGGTCCCAAATTAAGGAACTGGATACGCGCACTATACATGGGTCCGACCGCCACTGTACGGGTCAATGGGCAACACTCCACCCCCTTCCAAATAGGAAACGGCACCCGCCAGGGATGCCCACTATCCCCTCTCCTGTTCGTCTTGGCGATAGAGCCTTTTCTGACAGCTATCAGAAACAACCCCCAAATTAAGGGACACCGCTATCCAGGGGGAGAGGTAAAGGTCTCTGCATTCGCAGACGACGTGCTCTTCTCGGTCACGGACCCGCTCCACACACTGACACAAGTACAAATAGAAATAAACAAATTTGGCACACTATCGAATTTCAAAATCAACACAGAAAAATGCGAGATACTAGGACTCTCCATACCATCGACCTTACAGGCCCGAATCAGGGAATCCCATAACTTCGCCTGGGCCCAGAAAAGCTTGACATACCTAGGTATCCGCCTCACCCCGTTACTCAAGGATCTGTACAGTCAGAACTTCCCGACACTCATAGATACTATAGCCCAAGACTTCAAAAAATGGGACTCACCCCAATTCTCATTAATGGGCCGGGTCAATATAATAAAAATGATGACCCTACCGAAAGTGCTATACCTGTTTCAGACCCTCCCAATCCCTCTACCGGGAGAATTCTTCCGACGCATGAGATCCATATTCGTAAAATTCACATGGGGAAACAAACCTGCGAGGTTGGCATACTCGACAATAACAGCGCCACCGGGGAAGGGGGGGTTAGGCTTACCTCACCTATACAAATATTACGTAGCAGTTCTCCTCACACGAGTCAGGGACTGGAATAAGGTCGACACTCCTAAAGCCTGGTACAATCTTGAACAGAGCTATGCGACGGTCCCTCTCCACACGCTCCCTTGGCAGACATGCCAACTCACAACACTCACCCCAACACACCATCCCCTCATACATAACACACTCCGGACATGGAGGAGACATAGAGAGGACTGGGGACTATCTCCCGGTCTATCCCAGTTTTTTCCCCTGGCCAACAACCAGCACTACTCTAACCCGAGTCACTGGAGAGGCCTGCCCAGAAGTAGCGACGGTCTTCACAGGAGATGACCCTCCTAAAATAAAGGCCTTCCTCACACCAAGTAACAGGGGAACATTACTAGACATTATGGCCAAAGCACAACTAACCCACTTCTTGACCCAATCGGTCCTCCCGTTTTGGAGGAAAAGGGACAAGACACTCTTCGAATCCCTCTGCTCCCAGGGCAATAAAACAAAACGGCCCCTATCGGCCATCTACCGCCTCCTCCAAATGGAAGCAGCGGATACACCCAGACCCTCATACCAACGAAAATGGATGAGGGAACTCCACATTCACATGACGCATAGTGACTGGGCACACATCATGACCTTAGGGATGAAATCCCCGCTAAGCATGGCTCGCAAAGAAACATTTTACAAACGGGTCACCAGATGGTATAGAACACCAGCCCTTCTCCACACCTACTGGCCCACAGTAAGCGACCAGTGCTGGAGGTGCGAAAGAGCAGAGGGCAACATGGAACACATATGGTGGAGCTGCAAGAACATAGCACCATTCTGGGACCTGATACTTACAGACATTAAGAAAATCCTATCCATGAGGGCACATATATCCCCCTCCCAGGTACTTCTAGGGTGGCCTCGGGCACTAATAGACCCGTATAAACAGCAACTCCTAAACACCCTCCTAGGCGAGGCCAATGCACTTATACCTATGCTCTGGCGACAAACACAAACACCCTCTAGAGACCAATGGGTCCAAAGGGTGGAGAGGACCAGAGAGCTAGAGGAGATCCACTGGTCAACACAGGGTAAGAGAGCTAAATATCTCAAAATTTGGAAACCCTGGCTCTCCTACTGGAAATGCCCCCCGCAGGAAACGCACTCATAACCAGCTATAGCGAGAGTATTTAATCCAGTCTTATACGGAAATCCAAACACTTTACCACAGAGGGCCGGAGAACTCGAGATTCCGGACTCTAAACTTCTATAT